GGTGGTCCTGAAGAGGGAGAGGGAGAGGGAGAGGAGGGGAGGGGAGGGGAGGGGAGAGGAGAGGAGAGGAGAGAGATGGGCAGGTGTGTGGGGCCAAGGACCAACAGTGGTTGAGCCACTTTTTGAATTCTAAGTGAGGAATGACGGGAGATGAAGCTGAAGTAGACAGCAGGGCTTTGTAGCTCATTTCACACCCAGTGACAGAGGGATCCTCAGGGCACTGGGGCAGAATGGAGGGGAGACTTCCTGGAGGTGGTGCCAAAGCTGGACCTTGAAGAGTGAGGGTATGCCGGAGGGACAGGGAGCTGAGCAGACTTTTGCAGCAGAGACCAGAAGTGCAGAGATCCCAGCAGGAAAGAACAAGACGAGTGCTGGAAACTTCTTGCATGGCTGACAGCAGTATAATCTTGGCCTGCATCTTTAGAGATGTGTGCTCCCTAAGCACACCTGATTTTTTTTCAGCATTTTTGATTTCTGGAGTAGTTCAAAAGCACAACTAGGGTCAAAAGGCACCGGCAGTGTTTGCAGTAGGCTCCAGGAGGCTCGGGTCTGGCTTGTGAGAGCCTTGTATGCACGCTCTGCCAAGAGAATCTAGGCCTATCCGGAGTGCATAAGCAGTGGAAGCCTTTAGCTGTGGCCCTTACACCTTAGAACTACAGATTTAGCCAGTTGTTATGAGATGGGTGGGGATGGTGAAAGCATTCATCAGTAACAAACAAAAGATCAGAAACCACCTAGGGGACTGCTTGAGTACATTTACGTTTTGAACTGCCTGTATAGTGGAATGCTATGCAGCTGCACAAAAGGAGGAGGGTATTTTTACATGCCATATGGACTAATCTGTAAAATAGGAAGTACAATAAAAACAGCAGCGAAGTACAGAGCAGTGAGTGTAGCTATATGGACAGTGCACTATCTTAGGCAAAGAAAATGAGGGCAAGACTAGAAGTGTCTCCTGTAGGAAACCTGAGCTACCTGGGGAAAAATTCACAAGACGACATGCGTGCACTGATTGCCTTGGGGGAAGGCGTGCACTGATTGCCTTGGGGGAAGGGACCTGGCACCAAGCAAACAGTGAGGAGAGAGGCTTTTCATTATAGCTCCCTTCGTATGTTTTAAAAATCCATTTACAAGAAATTAAGCTTTTAGAGTGTAATTCATTCACAATTCAAAGCCACACAGTTTAGAATGAGACAGGCTTCCAGCCCCATGCCAACACCCATCCAGGTGACTCCCAGCTCTCGCTGGCCCTTCTGTCACTTTTGAGCAGTCTCCACTCCTTTAAGGGAGACTGAGGACTTGAGAGGTTAAGCCTGTCCCTCCTTCCTGCCTGGGTGACAAGAAGTGCCCCAGCCACACACACTGTGTGTAGAAACTCACCTTCACAGCCTGGGTATGTATAGTTATGGGAACACCATCTAAGTTCTCTGAGAGGAACAGGTCGACTTTTCACACCAGTGTCAGAGACACATGTCCCCAAAGCACAGTGTGTGTGTGTGTGTGTGTGTGTGTGTGTGTGTGTGTGTGTGTGTGTGTGTGTGTATCCCTGCAGAGGCTTTCAGATGGCATAGGGCAGGTAGATAGCACTGGGAGTTAACATCTGGGCATGGAATCTACTTCCAGGTTGGTGGTAGTGAGTGCATGAGATGACCGCCTATGAAATTCCTTGCTTAGTAATTCACAATGCTGGCCTTGTACTAAATTGCTATGAAAATAAACCAACTAGTAGATATTGAAGCGATTTAAACAAACTTCTGTACAAGGATATCCTTTTGGACCAACAAAAACAAAAATTCAGAGACTACTTTAAAATGTGTCTCTATGAATGTGCTAGTTTTATGGGTTTTTTCCTACTTACCTGGAAACTACTTTTTATATTTCTCCATTCCAAGCGGAGCACATCGTCAATGCAAATTTTACTTGGGTTGCCCCAATCAAGTAAAATGTATTTGTTGCCTAAAATTGCATCTCCAAAGTTGGATGTAGAATAAAAGATTCCCACACTAGCAAAGGGATTGTAGTCGGTCATCCAAAACAATAGCTGGTTTATAAATCACTTAGGGTTAAGGAGGCCTATTGGATTGACAGCAAAAATAAATGAATCATAGCCATCTCATTACTAAATACAGTGTTAAATGACAGTGCCTTGACTGGGCAGAACTCACATCTCTAAGTGAGGACTCTAAGAGTGCTGGGTTGCGTGGTTTGGGTTGCATTTTCTTCCGCGGCAGATTAGCAGAACTGAGTTAAACACTCGGGTTATGTTGAACTGACTATTGTAGGACTTTAGCAATTTATCGTGAGTGCAAAACTTGTCACTGAACCTGATTTTCTGATGTAGAGATCAAAAGCTGTAGATCCTGGTCTAGTCTGGTAGAGAGTGGAGGGGACAGCTGGAGCAGGCGTGCAGTAGGACCCAGAATGCACACACCGTGAAATTCCTTTCTGCTTTATTAATCAGTCACACCCTTTGTTGTGATAGGTATTTCCAAACAGGACATTCGTGAACAGATTTGGGACTACATGGAATCACAAAATTTAGCCGACTTTCCCCGACCTGTTCATCACAGGATTCCCAACTTCAAGGTACTGAAGCATTCCTGGAGCAGTGAAAAGGAAAACAGGATACTCCTAAATGAATAACATTAGTGATACAGTTACCACCCTGCTTCATCATGGTGGATTCAAATTCAGTGAACGTGGGTGGTGGTGTGAAGTCCAAACCACCAGGCCAACGTGTTTTTGTGTTTCGAGACATCTCGCATCATGTTACCTAACCTTGACTCTCAGGGCCTTTTGCTTTTCTGTGCAGAGTGGGTTGGTCAGTTGTATCTTGCCGTGAGGTGGTGCTCAGTCTACTGTTTACCGTGTGATGCAGAGTGAAATGTTTATCCTGGCTGGAAGCACGTTATTGTTGTGGTGCCTTTTCACAAAATTGGCTCCCTAAGGGCAGTCAGGGCGGTGCACTCTGGGAGAGAAACCTCACCGCTAGCACCTTTGGAAAGAGGAAGGCCTCGCCAATTTCCCAACTGTTCAGAATAGAAGACGATCAGAGATACCTGTTTATAATAGTATTCGTAGAAAAAAGTTTGCTTGACAGAGAGGCAACACAGCTCATAATCTTCGGCATGCGTGTTTTCCAAGAGAAAGAGAAAGCGCTTTTGGAAAATTCACTGGTTGATCTGTCAGGCCTGAAGGATGTGGCCCATTTGTTTACTTGGCATCACCCCCGCACCCCCACCTCATTTGGTTGGGCTTTCTCTTCTCAGCCTGGCTTCTAAGAAGCAAGCCCCAGCCCTTCTCTGGGCCTCAGCTGAGCTGGTTCCGAGGCCATCCTGTCCCTTTGAAAAACTCCTTTTGGATGGTTTTGTTGCTACTTGGTTTTGTTTTAGTGCTTCTTACTCCAGGAAGAGAAGTGTACATGAAGTTCAGGGGGAAAAATGAAAGATGAACACAATCAGTGATAATCTTTAAAAAGCAAACTAGGAGAAGGATGGGGGTTCTGGGTTAGTGCTCCAACCTTGATTTATATGCTCTGTCTTGATTTAGGTGGTGGTTCATTTTCTGAAAATTCATCAAGCTATACACTCATGATTTGTACACTTTTGGGGGTGTATATTTTATTTCAGTAATAAAGTGGGGCCAGGTCGGCTTTCTACCCTGACTGCTTTCTCAGATGTTTCTTTGGGTGACTGTTAAATCTTGTTTCAGAATTAGTACTTCCGCCTATCTGGGTGGCATGCTGGAGCAAACTGCTCAGGCTGCAATTGTCCTCTCAGTAACGCAATCGCATTTAAAAACAGGGTGCTTCTCGTGCCGCTGAGCATCTCCCACGCCTGCAGGCGTTCAAAATGGCCAGAACCATTAAAGTCAACCCCGATGCTCCCCAGAAAAATGCTCGCTTCTTCGTCCTCGACGTAAGTGCAACTCTCTGTCTGTTTGCCTAACCAGGGCTCTTATCTGGCTTGCCAAAATATCAAAGACCTAGATGTGTTTGCCAGAACGCAGGAAGTTAAAGTGGACCCCGATAAACCGCTGGAAGGCGTTCGGCTGTTGGCACTGCAGGTAAATCCCGTTTCCCGGAGCTGGAGCCCTTGCCACTTGACGGGAAGGCTGTCTCCAGGTGGCTGGTAGATGCGTGCAGCCCTGTATGTGGAAGGATGGTGCTTACGTGCCCTGGAGGTGTTTTTTCCAGGAACAGCCCAGAAGTCTTTCGGTTGTCTAGCAGTCAGTCAGAAGTCCAGAATGTTTCTAAGTTCAAAGATAAAGGACATTCAAAACAATGACATTGAAGCGTTCTCAATTCTGATGTCCTTCATCAGAACAGAAAGATTACAATATGTTTATTTTTTCCTGCCATATTTGTAATATTACAATTCTTTGAAACTTGATAACCCGTAAGAAATATGATACCTTGAGTTCCCAAAATATATAAATTAGAACAGTGTTTCTTAAATATATAGGTCCCTTTTCAAGAAAAAAAAATTTCCCCAAGGTTGCTTTATTTTATATATTTTTATTTTATTTTTTTAAAGGATTTTTTTTTTAAATTGGGGAACAGTGTGTTTTTCAAGGACCCATCAGCTCCAAGTCAAGTAGCTGTCTTCAATCTCATGGAGGGTGCAGCTAAGCCCATGTGGGGATCGAACTGTCAACCTTGGTGTTATGAGCACTGTGCTCTAAGCACCTGAGCTAGCCGGCTGCCCCCCCCCCCAAGATTGCTTTAAATTAATTTATTATAATTCAGTAAGTACAAACATTAGTATACATTTGAATGCTCGTAGCTCTTATGCAACTATGAAACCAAAATAAGCATATAAATTAAATACAAACAAAATTATCAAAGCAATAACAGTCAAATAACAGCACTAATTTTATGTAACGAGTGACAGTCTTTCGCTGCAACAAATCACTGCTGATAATGTGAATCTGGTGCTATGTGTTGCAATGCAGCATCTTTGGAGTCCTGTCTCATGCTACCACACTTCGTGTGGCGACCCTGTTCTCCCACAGCTCCTGAGAAGCCCAGGTGATGCAGAGCACCTTTCATCCTGCGTGGTGGAGGGAATACTGGAAAGTGATTTTACAGGGAACCAGGAGGATTGTAGAGACCCCACTCTGGTTCTTTCAACTGTCTCGCGGAGGAGATGATTCTGTCTTCTATTTGCGGTTCAGCCCCAACAGGGGCCTCTGGTTTAGGCTCTTCCACAAGCATTCTTTCTTGCCAGCCTTATTTTCCCAGTCAGTAAATCACTTTAATGAACTAGAGGCAACAAGAGCAGCAGTGAAGGACACGCCATGGGCAATTATTCCACAGTGTGACCGGAGTCAGCTCTCAGCATGTGTGAGGTTCAGGGTGTTCTTACCTGTCAGCCCCGCAGAGCACAACATTGGAGGCCGTGAATACGCTGGACATTTTAGACTTAGCCAGGGCAACCTGTGAGAGGAGTGCAGCCAGGTGGCAGGATGGAATAGCTGAGTCCTCACTGTCATTTCATTTATTCAGGGGACATAAACAGCCAAACCGTATTCCAGGCTCTATGCCAGTCATGGACATGGTGGTGAAAAAGATGCCATGATGCCCGTGGTCCCTATGCTGTACGTCTACAGGCTCATCAGTGGTTTCTAGAAACTTTAGTGGGTTAAGGATCACCTAGGAAGCAGGTAAAGCTGCAGGTTCCCTAGCAGGGATGGTGATAAACACGGCCATAGGCCACACCTGGGGACACAGGGACCTGTGCTTAGGGGATACACAGCTTCCCAGGCTCAACCCTAGGCCTTGAATTGGTTTCTGGAGTCTGTTTTTTTTGTTTTTGTTTTTTTTTAAAGATTTTTTATTGGGGAATTGGAGGGATGGGAACAGTGCTGGGGAGTTGGGGGATGGGGAACAGACAAGTTGCTGTCCTTTTGTTCTTCAATCTAGTTGTGGAGGATGTTGCTTCACTGGCCCAAGTTGGCACCATCATTGCGCTCTTCCCGGGTGAGGCAGATCAGTCGCCGGCTTCTGGACGGCCGCTCACTGCGGCTGCTGGCCGCTCACGCTGGCTGCTGGCCACACACGGTAGCCCATGGCAATCCACTGCCACAGGGACTGCAGCCCACGCCGTCGCCGGCGACTCATGGCAGCCCAGCTCCAGGTTGAGCTGTTGTTCAGCATCTCAGCTGCGGAGGGCAGTGTCACTGGCCCTCATATGTGGGATCCGAACCGGGGCCCTCTGGCATCCCAAGCGAGTTCTTAACCATCGCGCCACTCGGCCGGCCCTGGAGTCTGTTTTTAAAGAACACCTGATGGCGCCTGAGAACCACTGGCCTGGGCAGCATTTGCCAACCCTAGTTGATGTTGGTTCCCTCCAGGGAGCTTTGAAAATAATCGGTTGCCGATGTCAGGTTCTGAATCAGAGGCTCTGACGAGGCCTGGACCTTGGTAAGTCTTCAAGCTCCCCAGAGGATGCTAACGTACAGCTAGGGTTGAGATCCACTGAGCTGGGGATAAGCAGCTTCTGGAAAACAGAGTATAACCAGCATAACCTGCAGTAAGCCAATCATCTGGAGACTGCAAATGAAATGAACCCCAAGCTTAACACTGCAAAGGAAACTAGTATGTGGTCATTGCTTGTGTTGAAATACTCTTCCCTTGTGGTTGAAAAACCTTTATTTAATTAAGCCAGACTGTGATTTTATAGACCTTTTGTTGGTCTCAGGCTGTCATCTCCTGCACAAAAACTAAAATATACTATTTTTTACACAAATATTTTACAAATTATATGATTGCCCCTGCATGATCTGCAGAGATGCTTTGAGCAGTGGCTCTCCAGTTTGACCCAGTGGGCTTATTAAAGCAGATTGCTGCTGTCTTCCCCTCCCCCCCCCCACCTCCGCCACAGCTTCTGATCATTTCTTACAAGTGCCCAGGAGCTACTGCGGCTGCTGCCCAGGGCCCCACTTTGAGAAGCCCCGTGTCCTCTGGCATTCACAATCTGAGAGCTAAATAGAAGAAAAGGGGTGTTGGCACAGGTCAATATCAAATATTAATTATAACGAGTGCTGATCTCTCAGACTGCAATTTATTGAACAGCAAACTAGATGTAAATATGCTTGATGGAATAACGTCTTTGATGTAGCTATGCTGTACCAGTTTCAAATTAAAACAGTAACTGGGTAGTGTTTAACGCTGAGAACAGGGGGCACAAGAAAGTTATGGCTGGAAGTTTTATGAGAACAGACCTTTGGATTTGTGTCATCATTTTTTGCCTGTAACAATTTTCAGTGGTAAGTAAAGTAGAATTAGTGAGTTTAATAAATGCGCTGCCTCTTCATCCACGGCTGGGCTAAGGTAGTGGCTTGAAGTAAAATTGTCCCTTCGCATTATTGACTTGTTTTCAAACAAGTAATTTCCTTGGCACACACCAAAAAAATAAAATAAAATAAGAAAATGCTGATAATAGTAACTTGCATCTGTTCCTGAAATGTTAAAAACATCCACAAGAACGTTCCTGTTTCATTTTGTAATTTGTTGTCTTTCTTTTAAAAGAGCAGAAAAACGTTGTTGGTTCCAACACCACGACTGAGAACAGGGTTATTTAACAGGATCACACCACCCCCTGGGGCAACTAAAGACATCCTGAGAAAATGTGCCACCTCTCAGGTAAGTGTGAGGAACAAGTCACCCGCCAAGAAAAAAAAACTGTGCTCAGCTGCAGCTTCTGGAGTTAGAATTGCATAAAAAAAACACCACAAAGTTTGAAATGTATTTTTAACAAAGTCAAATGAACAGAGATGTTAAAGTATTCAGCAATCCTGTCATTAAGGGAGCCAAGTTGAAAAACTATGAATACACGGATTCCATTTCTGTAACTTGGTTTCTATTTTGCACCAAGCTGGCAAACTAAATTCTGGTAAGAAAAAAAAAACGGAAAAACAAGTTATCTGGTACTCAGACGCCCTCTAGTGTTAACCTGTGCCCTTGTTTCGTGCTCTATTGCGTTTTCTCAAATGCCACCAGAGCAATAGGGGACACGGTGGAATTTCCAAAATATGTTCAATTGGGAATTGCCTCATCAGTTCTAAATTAATTATTGCTAGTGTGTGTGTGTGTGTGTGTTCTGTATATAAGACTTTCTTGAATGCCTCACAATGAAGTAAAACCAAAGTGTGTAAATACTACATTAGGGTGCACTATAATGGAGTTTGTCTTGTAGTTTACAGATAAAGAAATAGAATTTGGTGATTTTTCAGACTCCTAGAGTAGACTCAGGTCATTTGATTCTTAATCTGCTGAAATAAAAAAATACAACATCGAGATACTCCGTTTTTTAAGGGATTGTCCACTTAAGTCTAACATATAAAAATTGAATGCTGTATTGTTATTTATTGATAACCTGTTTTTTTCCAAAAATAGAATTTGATGTGGCTTACAAAAATACTTATAAAGTAAAATAATCAAATATGTATAGAACAAGAGAGCAAAGAGAAAATAAAGGTAGAAAAATAGGAGACAGCATTGGTTCTGGTCACTGCTCCGAAATGCAAACCCTGTGATCCTCTGCAGTTGGCAGACATTGATCCCATGTTTCTTTGGAGCCGAAAAGGAACGTGATCAGTTATAAGCCGTAGGTTCATGACAGCAACAGCAGTCCTTTTCCTGGGATTGAGGTCCAGGTCAGATGTAGCTGTGGTGCTGGTAGAGCGGTCTGTGCCACCTGGAACAGCATCCCCCTCCCCTCTGAAAGGTGACCACCACTCTGCTTGTGGCCAGGAGTTCCCCGTGAAGCGCCGGCACTGGCTGGCCCCACACATGCACTCCTGAAAGTATGGCCGGGCCCAGGGTAAAGCCAGACCCATTCTCATGACAACTTCAATAAGGACTGAACGTCAAAGTTTGGGCTTCTTTATAGCATGAGATACTGGATCACCATCAGAGATCCAGAATCATGAACCTCAAAAAGATCCTCGTTAACTTTATGGCGTAGGAAACATGGGAAAGCGGAGAGAGACTCTTAAGGCCACGTCAAATGCAGATACAAATTTTAGTGCAATTATTATTTTGGTTGCCAAAGCTTAGTGGCAGAAATACTGCTGCGGTGCATCTATACTCTAGGAGACTCTGAGAAAGCCTTACTTCCTGGCAGATAAGTCACTGAATTTGTCCCTCACTGCCTCAGCTCCCACCATCACGCCCCAGCCACCTGTGTCTGTCATCATTGTATTTACTCTGACTTAGGAATATTCTGGTAACCACCTCTGTGGGCGGACAGAAAGGTGTGTTATTCGCACTATAAGCCCTTCTCCCCATCAGTGACTCTTTGTTGATTTGAACATGACTTTGGAGAATCAGGGGACGCCTGGTTGCCCACGCTGTGTCTGGCCACACTCAGCAGGTGAGGCTGACCGAGTGAGCGAAGAGGAAGTGTGACAGACAGAGTCACAACACAGAAAACCCCACCCAGCTGTCTGCTCACCAAGGCTGCCAGGCACTGGTCCGTTAAAACTGAGTGGGGGAAAAGGGCCGTGACCATGAGATGCCTACCTCCGTGGCCCCTGAGAGAGGAAGAAACAATAGGCTTGCCCACAGTGAGGGCACCATGGGCTGAGGACTGGTTTGACTGTTAGGAGGCCCCAAACCAGTCACGTGTCTGGATCCTGTAAGTGACTTGTCATATATTTGTAGACTGGGTTCAGTACCACACCCAGTGGCCCGCTTCTGCTGGGGACCGCTCTGTACAGTGTCCCAATCTGGTTCCTTAGATTTACCTATAGTTCTCATGATCAGAATCATGACATATCGGCCTTCCTATTTGTTAAATACAGGCCTCCATTAGTTAGCATGCATGGGTGTACTTTGGGTGCGTTTTGGTTGAATAAGTTTTTTTCCAATATTTGGTTGAATATTTCGGAAGTGAGTGTGCTGTACGTGAAGATAACGGTCTCCAGAGTTTCATACTGAGTAAACATGTCACACATGTTCACTGACCATGTCTTACGTGCCACGTGCTTTACCTCCATGATCTCATTTCACTCCAACACCAGTCTGACGAGGCCAGGGGTGGTGTCCCTATCTTAAAAATGAAGAAATTGAAGTTTGGAGAGCTTCCTTCTGCCGAGGTCACAGGGCAGAGAGGCAGCCGAACCCAGTTCTGTGGGACTCCTCTGAGCCCGTATTCTAATCACCGTGCTCTTCTGTGTCATGGGGAAAGTGATCTGCTAAATATTACGAAATTAATATCCTATCCATCTGTGCTGGCAGCTCCTCCTGGCGCCTTTCCTGGAGAAGAAATGATGGGAAATTAGCTGAGCCCCGGTTTTTTTGCAATACCATTTCCTAAATGCCTTGTGTTTGCCGTGGGGCTGTGCATGCGTTGGCTTCTCGCAGACATTGATTCAGACCCTGATTGCTCCTCGCCCGTGAGGTAGGAGGTGGGGCAGCCGCTTGCTGCTGGGGAAGCTTTCAGGGCCATGTCTGTGTCCGCAGGGCGTGAGGAACTACAGCACTCCCGTGGGCTTGGACGCCAGGGTTCTCGTGGACTTGGTTGTGGTGGGGTCCGTTGCTGTTTCTGAGAAAGGTAAGATTACAAACAGGAACTCTCAGCTGGGACCACTCACCCTGCAATTTGCATTCCACCAGCTTTCTGCTCGTCTTTAGAAAGTGATGGCAAGTGATTTCAGCTTTCTGGGCACAGGCGTGGTCTTGTAAACCAACTGCTGCATCTATTGTTCATTTCGAAGCGTTAACCCCGCGCCTCCCACTCCTGGCCCGACTCGACACCTTGACAGTATTTTCATTCTTCTCAATGGGAAAAATAAAGTGAGAGAATCTCTCTTCAGGTGGTGAAAGATTGTCCCTCTGTTCTTAAGTTGACTGGAACCGGAGCTGAATTTATTTGCAGTATGTCAGTAAATGGTTGATTTTGGAGCGCCTCCAGGATGTGCGAAACATTAGGTTCTAAGCCTTGTTTTTGTTATGAAGCAGCAGCCTCCTGGACAGCATGGGGTGCCCCGAGCCTGCCTGTAAGGCCTGGGCCTTCGCCTTACAGGCAGGTGAGCAGCGCAGGGTCAGCACTCTGCCAAGCCACCCTGTGGCTCCCAAGCTACCTCATCCCCCTCTGCACTGCTGGGCCCTGAACCCAGCTTTTTTTATTTTTTTTAATATTTTAAAAATATTTTTGTTAAATTATAATTAACATACAATATTATATTAGTTTCAGGGGTACACCATAGTTATTCAACATTTATATACCTAAAGAAGTGATCACCATGATAAGTCCAGCAACCGTCTGACACTGTACCACACTATCACAATATTATTGACTATAATCTCCATGCTGTGCATTACATCCCCATGACTTATTTGTTTTACACCTGGAAATTAGGACCTCTTATTGCCTTCACCTTCCCCCTTTTGTAGTTTTTCAATTACATTTGATACTCAATATTTTATATTAATTTCAGGTGGACAGCATAGTGATGAGACATTTATATAATTTAAGAAGCAATCCCCTTGACTTGTCTAGTACCCACCTGACACTATACATTTTGTCATATTATTGACTATATTTCCTGTGCTTCACTTTACATCCCCATGACTATTTTGTAACTACCAATTTGTACTTCTTAATCCCCTCACCTTTCCACCCTGCCCCCAAACTCCCAGCCATCACCCCAACAAATCCAGTACCCATCTGACAACATACATAGTTATTACAATATTATTGACTATATTCCTTATGCTACACCCTACATCCCCATGACTACTGTATAACAACCAATGTGTACTTAATCCTTTCCCCTTTTTTGCTCATTCTTCACCCCACTCCTATCTGGCAACCGTCAAAATGTTCTCTGTATCTATGAGTTTGTTTATATTTTGTTTGTTTATTTTGTTCTTTAGAGTCCACATAAAAGTGAAATCACATTGCATCTGTTTTTTACTGTTTGACACTCCACTCAGTACAACACCCTCCAGGTCCATCCATGCCACCACGATGACAAGAACCCATTCCCTTCCATGGCCGAGCAATATTCCATTGTACAATATATATGTACCACCTACTCTTTATCCATGCATCCATTGACAGACACCCAGGCTGCCTCCACATCTTGGCTATTGTAAACAATGCTGCAGTGAACATGTGGTTGCACACGTCCCCTTGAAGTAGCATTTGGGGTTTCTTCAGATAAATACCCAGAAGTGGGATTACTGGATGTTTCCTTTGTCTCTTGTTATAGCCTTTGCTTTAAAGTCTATTTTGTCTGGTATAAGTATTGTTGCTCCAGCTTTTTTGTTTTGGTTTTGGTTTGGTTTTTTTGTTTGTTCGTTTCCATTTTCATGAACTATTGGGTTGTTGGAAAAGTCATGACGCATTTTTGCAACAAAAAACATAGAAAAAATACGTCATGACTTTTCCGACAACCCAATATCTTTTTCCATCCCTTTACTATCCGTCTGTATGCCTTTCAATCTGAAGTGAGTCTCTTGTCGGCAACATATGTAAGGGTTTTGTTTTCTTTTTCATTCAGCTCTCCTATGTCTTTTGATTGAAGCATTTAATCTTACATTGAAAGTAATTGTTGATATGTAGCTATTCCCATTTAATTATTCTTTTTTTTTTTTCATCATAAAGAAGTCCCTCTAACATTCTTTGTAATACTGGTGGGCTCTGGTGCCTGTTGAGACCATCGTTTGTGTGTGGGGCTTGTGGGGCTAATTGGGCAATACTCTGCTGTGGTCTGAAGCCAACTTCCAAGTTGTTGGTTGTGGGGCCTCTTGGAAGGGGCTCTGGTGCAGGCCCAGGTCTCCCACTGCCTGTGACCGGCCAGGGACTACCTGGTAGGAGCTACAAAGTGATCCATGGTTATTCACTGCCTGTGCAAAACCCGGAGGCAAGTGAGAGAGGTCACATTGTGAACCAAAGACAGCTGCCACACAGTAATGGGCCTGGGTTACCTGTAAAAATCCAGGACACCCTGAGGCCTGCTGCCTCCTACTGGCTCCCTTAAGGTTCAGTCGCTGATAAAGCTTTGCTCGGTATGCAAGTTGGGAGAGGCAGGGTCTCAGGGAGTCACTAGAGTGGGAAGTGTTGTGGTCACCAGGTTAATGTAAATTCTGGTTTGGTGCCAGTGCTGGGCCTGGAGCTACTCAGCAAAAGTCTCAAGAGCACACCAAGGCCAGTCACCGCTGGCCTGGAGCCCTCGTACTCTGATAGTTTCCCAAGAAAAAGTGCATTGTAGGCGGGGCTGACTGCTCCAACGAGAAAGTGCCTTCCTCGCTGGGGAAGTTGGATGGGGCAGGGCCTCAGTAAGTCAACAGAGCAGAGCTGTGGAGCCCACCAGGCTAATCAGATTCAGATGTGGCCTGTGGGAGGCAGGCTTAATACAAGAAAGATGGTGCCTGCCTGCCAGCTGCAAGGGAGGAAAACCTCACACAGGGAAAATGGTAACTGTCCTCCATCCCTTGCTTCAAAGCCCCACTCCTTAGTCTGCCCCCCATTCTACCTCTGATGCCCCCTGAGTCACCGCCTCTCTGCCGGAGCCCAGGGTGAGTGTCTGCGAACAAGTGGGTCTATGTGTGGTTTCTTTAAGAGGACGTCTGGGTTTCCTGTAGCCTCCATCCCACCTGGATGTTTGAAATTCCCCACTGTTTTTCACAGCCAGACATTGTGGGGGCTCTTCTTCTGGGCACCAGTACTCCAGGCTGGGGAGGCTGGTGTGGGGCTGGGGTTTCTTGCTTCTCTGGGGGGAACCTCCCTGGCCAAGATACCCTCGTGGTTCTCAATTGCCACAGGGAGGTCTGGGGCCAGCCCATTTTGCATCTCCACCTCTCCTCCCAGACTGGACGTGGCTTCTTCTTTATATCCTTAGCTATAAAACTTACGTTCAGCCAGACATCAGACTCCAGGTTGACTGTTCTACACTTTAGTTGTAATTTAAATGTGTTCACGGAAGGAAGTAGGCACAGTGTTTATAATATCTACTCCACCATCTTGGATCTCCTCTGCCCCAGGTCCAGTTTGATGCTCTTTTTTAAACCAACCTGCTTATTCTTCAGTGGAATCAGTGGTTCCAGGTGGGATCACCTCATTGCAGACCTGCGCTGGTACGGTGATTTGGGGCCCCCACTAGGAGAGTATTTGCTCTCTTCCCATCCTTCCGAGAGAAGAAAGGAGAGACTGTCCTGAGACGCTCACCCCCAGAGCTCTCTTTGAAAATTAATTGGCCAAAGCCAGCCTCTTCCTTCAGGAGAGATTTCCAGTAAATAGAGATGCTCTAAATCATTTGTTCAAAACCTTGAGTGCTGTGGATTTCTTTTGAAATGCTAGCCTTTAACATTTTCACCTTAAATTTCTCTCTTTCCCCAGCTCTCCCTGTGAGCTGATGTGAGATGTTGTAGTTCTTTATTCTTTGCTTTCCGTGTGCCCAGTTACAGATGCTGTGTTCGTGTCATCACGGGTGGGCACACATGAGCACACATTTCCAGCATGCCTACCGTGGGCCTGCAGCCAGGCCAGCACGGTGATCTCTGCCTTGGGCCCACAGAGAGCAAGAGGAGCAGACCCAATAGCTGAACGACAATACGATGTGCTCAGTGTTAGAAATGGAAGTCAGGACGGACATCGGTGGGGTCAGAGGAGAGACCCATGAGCCCCGAGAAGGGCATCATCTCAGAAGTGACGTCAGGGCTAGCTCTTGCATGCAAGGTGTTTTCGAGGCAG